TATTTTCTATTTTGGGTTCTCATTGGATAGGAAATGTCCTTACCAAAGATATTAATTTTTTGTTTTGGAGTACTTTGGCCACGTTTTCCAACCGAATTGTCTGAAATTGAGGTTATTGGATCTCATTTGGTGTCAAATACTCCAACTGAAAATTGTCAATACTTGAGAATTTTGAACTCGATAATTTGTTTTCTCTTTGCGTGGCAAATCTTCCACTTTAAAAATTATAAATATCCTTCGACATTTGGGTATAGACCCCATATAAAGGTCCAGTCCCTTTATAGGTATTTTGATGGTCCTAGCCGAATTTTCCAACTATCGTGACTATATTCTAGTAATACTAAATGACTTTACTTTGGAATTCCGAGACCTTGACAGATAAACAACTTTTTTATAAACAATTTCCAATGGTCCCACCTGGACTTTGATGGCGAAAAATCTACATCACAGAACAGTTTTAATACATAGCCATGTGCTGGCGTAATTTTCGGTATCTTTACGGTCTTTGACCAATTTCCAAACCTCTGAGTGTCTTCAGTTTTCTATTAGGGTTTTTTCCTGGCTAGCAATTTACCATGGCATAGCCACCATATGAAAGCCTCCAACGATATTTGAGTGTCCACCTGATAGAGTAGAGTATAATAATTTCGCCCTACCGAATATGGCGACGTTATTACTTATTTTCTTCAATTTCCAAAAAAATGAATCCTAGGAAAAACTTCCAAAATTTATCTTTTGTCTCATAAAAATTCTTATCACATACGTAAATAATCGTAAATGTACCTAGAAATATTTCACATACCTTCTTCCCCCTCCAGGAAGGTTATAACATTAGAACTCACACGTACATACACACACATATATGTGTATAAATATCAGAACAGCCCATAGCCCACAGTACCTTTATGCAAGTTGTCGGTCTTCTTTAAGTACAGTTACTCACATTTGTTGCCATTGCACGTGGTGGTATTTATGTCTCCCATATATGTATGTGTGTATAGGTGTGTGTTTGAGTGTCGGTGTTGATATAATTTAATGTTACCAACACACTAAAACAACTCTTTGCAAAAGTGTTGATGATGAAGAGCTGGCTGATCTCAGACAACAACAACTAACATTAGTTAGTTGCTCTTATTTGTTGTTGTTGCTTTTGTTGTTTTTTGTTAGTCTACTGGCATTAATGTTACCACCGGATATGAATGTTTATTTCGCCTTACTAATGTAATTTATTAAGTGATAATTTATGTGCTTAAAGCTCAAAGGATAACTGTTGAGTTTTTGTTTGTCTGCGTGTATGTGTGTGTTCTTTGCTTAACAACACAAATGAATAACAACAGACTTATGTATACTCCCATTAAATTATGTTAGAAAACACAAAAAAGAAAAACGGAAATGTTTTTCAAAAGAGGGGCGCCATGGATAACAGAACGAAATCTTACGGAAGTTTTGCTACAATCACTCACACACACACACACACGAAGACACAAATACATAGAGAGAGACATACATGGAGTTACATTCTTCTTAGAAGTTTTACGAGAGTTAGTCAGTGGAAAATATGTTTCTTTACCATTAACAATAATAAAAAGACAGACACAAATACTCATGAAGAGACAAGGTTAGAGGAAGGACGTGTAGTAAAATAAGCGGAAAATTCCCCTCCATGAAAAACTGAACTAAAATCCCAAAAAGGCACCAAAAGAATAAGAAATAAAGATGGAGTGAGAGGGAGAGGGAGCTCAGCTCACCATCATCCAAATAATATTGGTACTTTCACGCATTTGTTGTTGTTTTTTTTTTGCTGTTTAAGCAAAGGATATATATTTTTTCCAGTGTTGCGCGAAAGTCCTTGGTGATGACTCAAGAATTATCACATATTCATGGCATGTCTTGTTCATGTATTGTTGCTGTTGTTGTTTATTGTCTTTTGCTGCAATAAGTAGGAAGGCAGTGTGGATGACTTGTTGGCAGACAAAAAGGCAGTCAGGACAACAGGACAATTGGGTGTGAGAGCGAAAACAAGTACAACGAACTGTTTATTCCCCTACATCATGTGGAGGACACTCAAAATACCAAAAATCGCTCCGGAATATTATATAGGAAGGCTATGAGGACATGGTAAATTATCAAACTATTTGCATTCAGTTTTGAAAATTTTGACAGGGTCCTTCTTTATACCCTCCCTCGAAATACCTAAAACCGAGCGGGAATATTTTATAGGTGGGCTAGGACATGGAAAATTGCCACATATGAGAAAACAAAGTACCAAACTACAGACGACACTCAGGTTGGAAAATTGGACAAGATCCTTCTTTTCACCCTCCATCATAAGGATGGACCTTCGAATATCTAAAATATTTTATAGAAGGGTTAGGACAAGTTGCCGGATACTCAGGTTGTAAAATTGGACAAGGACCTTCTTTTACCCTCCCACAGAATGTCGACATTAAAAACACCTAAAATCGATCGGGAAGTTTATATTGGTGACTATATGGGGACATGGCCAAATGGCAGCCAAGAGAATACCGAATACCACAATACATACCTACTGAAAACGAGGACCACTAATGTCCTGTAATTATATATTATGACACTTCGTAATGCAAAAATGTAGACACTTCTATTGAAAAGTATGCCTAGCGATTATTAAAATAACATTATAGGGGCGGGACCATAATATGGGGTCTATACGGAAAATCGAAATATTTCTTTTTTAGATTTTTATATGATGGGTATGTAATTGGTAATTGTAAATTGGTATAAGATGAAATCTAAGAAAACAAACTACCAACACTATGACTTAAAATTGGGCTAATTGCTTATGGTCATACCAAAAATGATGCATGTCGTTTATATTGTGGGGACCATGTCGAAAAATGGCCTGATATTAAATATTTTCTATGAAGAAGTTGTTAACCCACCTCCAAGGCCCTGGATTGCCAAATTCCAGCCATTTCGTAATTTTAGAATATAGACACTGGGTTGAAAAATGTATCCTGAGTCCCAAAAAGGACCCTAATTATAAAATTAAAGCCAATTCGTTAGAAAAACCTGTCCGAAATACCTAACCTACTAAAAATTCGGGGTACTTGATGTGTGAGGGCTATACCGAAATCTGAGTTGAAAATGATAATTTTTTTGTATGCCGTTTTTACACCCAATGAGAACCCGAAATACAAAATTGCAGTCAATTTGGTTGAAAGACGTTATCAAGCTCCCTAAAATTCGGAAAATTGGCGGTACCCTTATATGGGGTCTATACCTAAACTTGGACCAATGTTGATCATTTTTGGTAGGAAGATTGGCCACCCAATGAGAACCCAAAATATAAAATTAAAGCCAATTTGGCGGAAAATTTTGTTTCAAAATTCTCAAAATCTCAATGGTGGGTACCGTTATATAGGATTTATCCAGAAACTAGGACCAATATTTATAATTTTTGGTAGGAAGTTTTTACACTCAATGAGAACTCAAAATACAAAACAGCAGCCAATTTAATGGAAAAAAAAAACGTGATCAAGCTCCCTACAATACGGAAAATTGGAGGTACCCTTATATAGAGGCTATACCAAAACGTGGACCGATATTCATAATTTTTGGTAGGAAGATTAGCAACCCAATTAGAACCCAAAATATAACTTGGCAGCGAAATGTGCCACAAATCCGCAAAATAAAAAAAATGCGGGGTACCCTGATATGGAGTTTGCGAGGTATCGATACATTTCGGGGCTAACCCGAAACATCGGACAATTTTGATAATTTTTGCTAAAGATATTTTCCATGTAATGAGAACCAAAAATTACAAAAATCAAGGCAATTTGAAAGACGGGACCAAGCTTCTCACAATACCGAAAATTAGGGCCTACCACTATGGGGGTACAAATCCGAATCTTTGTAAAATATTGAATTTTTTTCACCCAATGACAATTCAAAACACCAAATTTTAGCCAATTTGGTTAAGAAACGGGACCAAGATCCCCGAAAAAATTAACATTCCGAAGTGCTGTTGGGGATTTATTTTAAAAATTAGCCAATATTGAGCATTTTTGGTAGGGCTATTCGACGTCCAATGGGAATATAAAATACTGAATTACATTCAATTCGGTTAATAAACGGGTCCAAGTTCCCCCTAAAATCTTAAATTCGGAAGTGGTCTTTTATGTGGGTTGCCGTAAAAAAGTAGACCAATATTTATAAAAAAAAAACACCTACAACCACTTCGGTTGAACATTATTCCGATCAAGAATATATACCTACTTTATGTGGTCTCCGTTGAATATTTCGATATGTTGCATACGGAATGACAAATTTAATATACCCTCCTCCACTAGGTGCTGCAGGGCATAAAAAACAACGCAATCATTGTGCCACTGTTTATTTGCCAGTCCTTTGTCAATGATGTTGATGCTGTTGTTGTTGTCCTTGTTGCCATCTTTTGTTTTCATTTCGGTTACAAAACTTATTTAAGGATAATATTTATTTGATTTGCTTTATTTGTATTATTTTTTCAACACTCCAGCAAGAAAATTTATATCTCCTCCCAACCCTGCCCTACTCACTATCTTCCTATCTCTCTCTCTCTGCTAAGAGTTACCAAGGAATTTTATGTCGCCTAGAAGCAGAAAAACACGAAATTTTCCCAACAACTTAAGAAATATTATCTCCAAAAAAGTTTGGGGGAAACCCCTCTATTCCTCCCCTTGAAAAAAACAACAACAACAAACATCCTTTGAACACAAAGACAAAAAACCGAGGGAGCTACTTCTAATAATTTATTGATAGTCTTAGGTTCCTTAGCTAGCTGAATGAACATATTTTATGCTGTCGTTTTCGTCTTTTGTTCTTATATCATTCGCCTTTGTGTTTGTGTTATATACATATAAATTTTATAGCTTACACACACACACTTATACATACAGACCTACATCATTAACTATGTGTTGCAATATTAATGTATTTATATTGTATTTTCTCTTTTTTTCTATTCCATTTACAGGGTCGCTGTAATCGTGATAAACCGCCTTGCAAATATTTTCATCCTCCACAACATTTGAAGGATCAATTATTGATAAATGGCCGTAATCATCTTGCCTTGAAAAATGCTTTAATGCAACAAATGGGTATTGCGCCAGGACAGCCAGTTATACCAGGACAAGTGCCAGCAGTGGTGAGTAGACAAAAAAAAAAAAAATAATAAAATAAAATAGAAAAAAAATTAAAGAAAATGTTTAACAGGTAGATGAAATAAATCCAAAAAATTAAATTTTGTTATCGATATTTCTACCCTTCACTACACTGTGGTAGAGGGTATTATGTCTTTGTGCATATGTTTTTAATATGTAAAAGGAAACGAGATAGACGCGTGGTTTATTTTGAGAATATGCATAGAATCACTTTTAGAGTCGATTAACGCATGTCCGTCCGTCCACCCGTCAGTGCATATATTCTTGTAAACAAAGTACAGGTCGCATTATGATCCGATTTAGGTGAACTTGGCACACCACACTTTTTGGCCCAAGGACGAACCCTATTGAAATTGGAAAAAAACCAGCTCAGATTTGGATATAGCTCCCATATATCTTCGATTTTCATGATATTTGACATAGCGTACTGAATTGAGCCTAGAATTATGTGTGCTAAATTTCGTGAAAATCGGCATACATTTAGATCTAGCTCCCATATATATTTTCGTCCGATTTTAGATAAATAGTGCACCAAAGTCCTTATATATCGTTCGATTTGCCCGAAATTTGTCACAAGGTACTGAATGAAGTCTAGAATGATGTGTGCTAAGTTTCGTGAAAATCGGCTCGGATTTAGATATAGCTCCCATATATAGTTTCGTCCGATTTAATGTAAATGGTGCACCAAAGCCCCTATATATGTCCCGAAATGCACGAAATTTAGCATATCGTACTGAATTAAGTCTAGAATGATGTGTGTTAAGTTTCGTGAAAATCGGTTTAGAATTAGATATAGCCCTCATATATATTTTCGTCCGATTTTATGTAAATGGTGCACCAAAGACCCTACATTTCTTTCGATTTACACAAAATTTGGCATAACGTATGGAAATAGGTATAGAATGATGTGTGTTAAGTTTGCTTAAAATAGGTTCAGATTTAGATATAGCTCCCATATATATTTTCGTCCGATTTTATGTAAATGGTGCACCAAAGCCCCTATATTTCTTTCGATTTGCACGAAATTTGGCACAGCGTAGTGAATTGAATCTACAATTATGTGTGCTTAGTTTCGTAAAAATCGGTTCAGATTTAGATATAGCTCCCATATATATTTTCGTCCGATTTTATGTTAATTAAATTACTTCTTGTATGATGTATGTTAAGTTTTGTGAAAATCGGTTCAGATTTAGATATAGCTCCCATATATATTTTCGCCCGATTTTACGTAAATGGTTCACCGAGGAGCCTACGTCTGTTCATGATATATATGAGATAAAATTGTGGACAATTAGGTTCAAACAATTAGGTTCAAATTTACATTCATACATAATTTTGCTCGGCTTTATACAAATAGTGCACCAAAGTATCGAAATCTCTCTGATTGACAATTTCATGTCAATCAGAGAGATTTCGATTCTATCGATTCGATTCTTTCATAGATTTCAGAATGTTATGTCTATGTGGTTTTTTAATAGGTTCAAATATCTATGTAGATCAAACATTTAGTTTCGCCCGATTCCATTTCAAAGGTTCTCTAAAGATCTACAGGATATTATATTATCGCCTCTTGTATGTACCCATAGTGGTGAAGGGTAACATATAATCGTCCCAATAAACTTTTCTGATGGGTTTTTTGTAAAAAAAGTGTAATTTGTTTCTATAAAAAATCGATAAAAACAATCTATACAATCTGTATGTTCAAGGTCCTAGCCAATTTCCCCACCTAAGAGTCTGCAGTTTGGAATTTTCTCCTCTTTTCTCCAGACAGCAGTTAACAACAGAAGAGCCCACACACATATAAAATCGGATAGATTTAGGTGTCTTGAGTGTCCATGTAATGGTAGAGGGTATAAAAAGTTCTATTCGGCGGAACTTTATGTATATCTACTTATAGATAACCGCCTCTATCTAACTACATAATATTCTATATTAAATCCCTTGAGATCCTCATTTAGACCTCGGACCACCTAACATAATTATTAACCATAATCCGAATTTAAATCCTTTCCCTGAAAATGTTTATGTCACCCAATATCCATTTTGCTTAAAGTTGATTTATAACTTTGTGCAGCAACAACAACAACAACAATAATAAGCATAGTTGAAAGTTATACCCGGAGAGTAGCCATTTCCATTTAAATATTTGGCCAGTGACAATTGTCATGTTTCTTGTGGTGTTATCCAAAACGGAATACAGCGTTAAGCTGGCTCGCTGGTTGGCTGGCCTCTGGTGCCCTGTACTACTTGCTGTACAGCAGCTCAAGCGGCGGCAACAGCAGCAGCAAAACGATGAGCAGAAAAATTGCATATGAATATTCATAAGATAATATGATAAACCACATCTTTTGCTTTGGGCACTGTGTGTGTGTGTTTTTTTTTCGGGGTGCATTTGCAGTGAAACAGAAAAATAAAACCCACAAAAACAAACGAAGAACTTTCCTCTCAGTTGAGAAACACAAGGATTCGAGGATGCAAAAGTTACCAAAGAGTAGAAAAAATCCAAAAAACAGACAGACAACTAACAAAAATCAAGTTATAACTTCCCTATGAAGTGCTATTAACAAAAAAACGGATTTTCAGTTTTTTATTTTAATTTTTTTTTTTTGTTTTTTGGAGGGAAACTGAACTGGACATTTAGCAGCAGTAACGGAGTTCCGCCAAAAACACATTCACTGGGAAATGTAAAGGAGATATATAAATATGTTTTTCCCTTGCTGCTTCTGTTTCTGCTTTCATCAGCTTTTGTGTGTGTGTGTCCCTATAAAAAAAATCACCCACAAATCATTGAAGTCCTTAAAGCCTGTGTGTGTGTGTCCCTTTGCTTCCCTAGGCTCTTTAACATTTTTTGTGTAGTTGTGCGGAAAATAAGTAAAGCAACAACAACAACATCTCTGACGATGACTACTGCAACCATAATGACTATGTCGAGTGGGATTCCTTTTACGGTAAACTATGAATTTGTTTGTGTGTGCCTTGGTATTGGTGACCCAACAACAAACATCCAGCTCCCCTCAGATGAGCTCAGCTCAGGACACTAGTAGCTGCTGCATTATAAAGTGAAACTTAACAAAGCGTAACGTGGCAAATAATAAAAATGTTATTTAAACACGTAATTTATGTATATCTCGATGAATGTGTGTGTGTCACAGTAGTCAGTGAATGTGGCTGCGCTACTGCCACTGATGCTGCTGCCGCTTCTTTTGTATGGAATGCGAAAAAGTTGTTGAATTATTATTTTTAAAAATTGCGCGAAAAATTCGTTGAGGAGACAATGGGGTCAATTTTTATAAAAATATGAGGAGTGAAAAATTTTATTTAAAAACCCAAAAATTATAGATCTCCACAATATAAAAAAATTAAAAATCCACGCCTCCAAGAAATATTTCTAAAACATTCACGCCTCCGAAAAATATTTCCTAAACATCCACGCCTCCAAAAAATATTTCCTGAACATCCACGCCTCCAAAAAATATTTCTAAAACATTCACGCCTCCGAAAAATATTTCCTAAACATCCACGCCTCCAAAAAATATTTTTTAAATCCACGCTTCCAAAAAATATATCTAAAATATCCACGCCTCCAAAAAAATATTTGTAAAACATCCACGCCTCCAAAAAATATTTCTAAAACATCCACGCCTCCATAAAATCTTTCTAAAAATTCCACGCCTCCAAAAAATATTTTTAAAATTCCACGCCTCCAAAAAATATTTTTAAAAATTCCAAGCCTCCAAAAATATTTTTAAAAAATCCAAGCCTCCAAAAAATATTTTTAAAAAATCCACGCCTCCAAAAAATATTTTTAAAAAATCCACGCCTCCAAAAAATATTTTTAAAAAATCCACGCCTCCAAAAAATATATTTTTTAAAAAATCCACGCCTCCAAAATTTTTTTTTTTTAAATCCACGCCTCCAAAAAATTTTTTTTTAAAAAACCCACGCCTCCAAAAAATATTTCTAAAACATCCACGCCTCCAAAAAATATTTCTAAAAAATCCACGCCTCCAAAAAATATTTTTAAAAAATCAACGCTCCAAGAAAAATTTTCTAAAAAATCCACGCATACAAAAAATATTTTTAAAAAATCTACCCCTCTAAAACAATTAGGTCTCCAAAAAATATTTCTAAAACATCCAGGCCTTCAAAAACTATTTCTAAAACATCCACGCCTCTAAAACATATTTCTAAAACATCCACGCCTCTAAAAAATATTTTTTAAAAAACCACGCCTCCAAAAAATATTTCTAAAAATTCCACGTCTCCAAAAAATATTTTAAAAAAAATCCACGCCCCAAAAAAATATTTTTTTTTAAAAAAATCCACGCTTAAAACATCCAGGCCTCCAAAAAATATTTCTAAAACATCCAGGCCTTCGAAAACTATTTCTAAAACATCCACGCCTCTAAAAAATATTTCTAAAACATCCACGCCTCTAAAAAATATTTTTTAAAAAACCACGCCTCCTAAAAAAAATATTTCTAAAAATTCCACGTCTCCAAAAAATATTTTTAAAAAAATCCACGCCCCAAAAAAATATTTTTTTTTTAAATCCACGCCTCCAAAAAATATTTTTAAAAAATTCACGCCTCCAAAAAATATTTCTAAAACATCCAGGCCTCCAAAAAACATTTCTAAACGATCCACGCCCCCATTTTTTTTAATCCACGTTTCAAAAAATATTTTTAAAAAATCCAGACCTTCAAAAAATCTTTATTTAGACCTCCACGCCTTATTTAGACCTCCATGAAATATGTTTAAAGAGTCAACGCCTTATTTAGACCTCCAAAAAATCTGTTTAAAAAGTTGACGCCTTATTTAGACCTCCGAAAAATATGTTTAAAAAGTCCACGCCTTATTTAGACCTCCGAAAAATATGTTTAAGAAATCCTCGCCTTATTTAGACCTCCAAGAAATAATTTTTAAAAAATCCACGCCGTTTATAGACCTCCAACAATAGTTTTCTTTTCTTAATTTCCCAAAATTATAACACCCCACTGTAACATTCACCCTCCCTTATATCTGTGTTTGTGTGCGTTTGTCTGTCTGTATTTTTGCTAGTTGATAGGTAGTAGTAGTCGAGTTGTATTTGTTGTTGCTGCTGCTGTTGTTATTATTCTCTGCGCTTAAACCTCAACACCCAACATCCGCATTATAATATTTTATTCATGCCATATTACCAGTGGAACAATATGGGTTAATAGTTGTGGCTTAAAATGGGGTTTTGGACATAACGTCAGCAAAAAAAAAAAAAAAAAAAACACGGCAGCAACACCAACTACATTGGATTTGTGCCACTCAAACGTTGAAATACCCACATACACACAGTGCTATTTATAAATGCATCGCAATGCAATAATTTTTTGGTGGGATGATGTCAAAGGTCATTGTTTTTAGGAAGGCGATTTTCCGTTTTGGTCTTATGCAAATTTATATGTATTGGAAGTTAATGTCATATTGAAGGGGATCAAATTTTTTTTTAATGAGGAATCGGAAAATGATTTTTTTGAAGAAAGTGGTCCGATGTTAAATAATAAAATATATGGATTTCTAAAATTCAAGTCTTAAAAATATAAAAAAATAGAATAAAAAAAATATATTTCAAAAATCCTCACCTATGATAGTTTTTGAACAAATATATTTTTTTTTAAATCCATGCCTCTGATAGTCTTTCAAAAGATATTTGTAAAAAATATAGTTCGACAATCCTTCAAACTATTTTTTAAAAATTAAAAAAAAAGTCATTCAAAATTGTTTTTAATGTATTTTTCTTAATTTTAAATATTATTTTCAATAATTTTTAATTAACATATTTCTTTTCCCCTTTCCAGGCAACAAATCCTTATTTGACTGGCATACCTGCTAACACATACAGTCCATATTTTGCACCTGGTCATTTAGTGCCTGCCTTATTGGGACCCGATCCATCGGCCGTTGCATCACAGCTGGGACCCGTTGTACCGCAAGCGGTGCAAGTGGCACAACAGAAAATACCACGTTCCGACAGATTAGAGGTATGTTAAGAACAGATATGCATGTGTAAATGTTATGTTTCAAAAAATTAAAAAAAAAAAACAAAACTACACACTAACTTTGAGTTTTGATTGTTTATTTTATTATATATATTAAATGAGTTATATAGTATAATTTTTAATATTAACAATTATTATACAAAAAAGAAAACATATTTAACGGAAAGCATGATTTTTTTGTACAGAAACAAAATTTTTCATTTTATAATTTTATTTTTATTTATTATTTTTGAAAGATGTACAGTGTTATTTTTTATTTTTATTTTATTATTTTATTTAACTAAAAAACAGATAACAAAACAAATGTTAAGCTTTTATACAAAATAATTTTTATTTTTATTTCAAATTAAAAATCACAATTGGTTAAATACTAGTTATGTTTCCAAAACAAACCAAAAAATCTATATTTTCACACATTCATAAAGTTATTTTTGAGATTTAAAAATCGAAATGATTTTCCATAAAAGAAAATATCAACAGTTTCTTATAATTTTCTTTATACAAAATTGGGTTATTTCGCTCTTGTTTTCCTACAAGTTTTCTTCTTCATTTTTCCCTTTTGTTTCCCTTGTATGTTATCATTATTTTCCAGCAGCTTTCCGTCTCTAGCTTTCATCTTCAGTTCCCAATTTTCTTTCTCGATTTTGTTGCCCAATTGGAAAAATACCCCCTTTTGCAAAGCTTTTGCTATCCAAAAAATACGAAATAAAGAAAAAATACGTTAAACATATCTGACAAATAAAACAAAACGACAAAGCAACCACCTTCCCCCTTATCTCTCTATCATACTAACATAGAGAGTAACACACACACAGACACACTTATTTCAACACTGGTGAAAAATATACATTTATAGATATATTTACCTTTAGAACTATTAAATTTTTAGTATTTGTTTTAATTATAAAATTTATTGTAAATTAGCGAAAAATTAGCCTGATATATTAGAGGAACTTAGATAAGTTATAAAAAGTAAATATGTAAAAAATATATATAAAATATATTAAAAAAATTATTTTAGAATTTAATAATTGCATACACAAAAGTTTTTTTAATGATTTTAGCTTTTATAGTTTTGATATTCCAAGAGAAAAATATTTAAACAAGTGAAAAAGCGTTAAGTTCGGCCGGGCCGAAATTTGAGTACCCCCCACCATAAATATACTGACAGGTACTAGAAATGAAACTTATGGAACATACGAAAAAATGGACCTATACCGGCATTTCTACAAACCGATTATGTAAACTATAATACAAATTTCAGAAATTTTTAATGGATAATTACACCCTCAGCCTTATGGCTAATAAGGGTGCATTCACTTTGACAAAGTGGAAATGTGCCTTATCGTCATCCTTTGGACCAAATCCGTTTCAGAAAATTTAGATTTCATTCAAATTTTGCCCATCTTATTATTTCTTCCAAACTTAGTTCAAGTTCGAAGATGGGGAATATCGGTCCACTCCTTCTGGAATCTCCAACACAGGGGCTAGGCCTAAATGCAGGCTATAGTTTATATATAGTTCATTATCGAAACTTACGTTCTAGTTATTTATCTCGATGTCCTCCGCAATCGAAATGATTACAACAGAGTCTTAGAACCAAACACAAAACCCAGAACAACTCAGATAACTATTTTAATATAAATAACTATTTTAATATAAAAAGGGGGTTATATGGGGACTACCCCGAAAGGGGGCGAATATTAATAATTTTTGGTAGGGAGGTTTGTTAATATATACGACTACAAAATACCAAATTGCAGCAAATTCGGTTGAAAAACGCCCTCAAGAACCAAAATACCAAAAATTGGAGGTACCCTTATATGGGGGCTATCCGAAAAAATGGACCTATATTCATAATTTTTTGTAGAGAGATTTGGGACCTATTAAGAACTCTAAATACTAAATTACACGTAATTTGGCGGACAAATGCTATCGAAATCCCCAAACTATTGAAAATTAGGAGGTACCGTTATATGGTGGCTACCAGAAAAAGTGGACCTATATTTATAATTTTTTGTGGATACATTAAGTACCCAATAAGAACCCAATGTAGGAAATTTCAGCGAATTCGGTTGAAAAACGCGCTTAAGAACCCCAAAATACCGAACATTGGGGGGTACTCTTGTATGGGAGCTATACCTAAACGTGGACCTGCCTGCAGACAAAGGGCCACTCTATGCAAAATTTTGGCAATCTAGCTCAATTATTTTAGACGCTAGAGTGATTACAACAGACAGACAGACGGACATGGCTATATCGTCATCGAATTTTACGCAGATCAAGAATATATATACTTTATAGGGTCGGAAATGATTATTTCGATGAGTTACAAACGGAAAAACTAAATTAATATACCCTCCATACTATGGTGAAGGGTATAAAGTTTGGCGCACCATTTATGTAAAATCGGACAAATATATATATGTATATGTGGGAACTATATCGAAATCTGAATCGATTTTGCCGAAACTTACCACACATCATTCTAGACCCAATTCAGTACGTTATGAAAATCGAAGGGACTTTGGTGCATCATTTAATCGGAGGAAAATATATATGTGAGCTATATCGAAATCTGACCGATTTTCCCGAAACTCACCACTCATCATTCTAGACTTAATTAACTACGCTATAACAAATTTCGTGCAAATCGAAGGATATATAGGGACTTTTGTGTACTATTTGCCTAAAATCGGACGAAAATATATATGGGAGCTATATCTAAATCTGAACCGATTTTTATGAAACTTAACACACATCACTCTATACTTTATTTAGTACGCAGTGCCAAATTTCGATCAAATCGAATGATATATAGGGACATTGGTGCACCATTCGGACGAAAATATATATGGGAGCTATATCTAAATCTGAACCGATTTTTCCAAATTTCAATAGTGTTCGTCCTTGGGCCAAATAAATGAGCTGTGCCAAATTTCATCCAATTCGGATCATAAATGCGACCTGTACATTGTTTACAATTTAACACCAATACGGACTGACATGCATAGATCAGAAAGTTTTTCGGGAAACCATGTGTCTACCTCGTTTCCTTTTGCCTGTTACAAACATATGCACAAAGACATGCATAAATCGACTCAATTCCATAATTCAAAAAAGGAAGAATAAAAAAATTAAATCCTCCTAAAAATCATTTTAAATAGTTGTTCCTTTATTTAATAAACTTTTGTGTGTGTATGCTAAATATTAAGAAAATTTGCTAGTCTTAGTAATTATCAGAAATTTCTAAAACACAGTGTTATCCATTGTTTGTCTTTATTTTTGTTTAAAATCCAACAGCTACAGGTTTTTATTGTCTCTATCTCCTCTCCCCTGATACCATGTATACTACGACACAATTATTCTAATTGGACCCCATTCTTTTGAAATTCGATTTTTTAATTGGATCAGGTTTTCTAATTTTTGAATAATATTTTGTTTTGTAAAAAAAATTAAGCGTTTTTTGTTTGACTAATCTTTAAAAGTTTTTACCCTAAAAATTCCTGTGAAAAAATTCAATATTTTTATTTGTTTTTTTTTTTAATTTTTGTTTCATTTTTTTTTAAATTTCTTGTTATGTTTGTTATTGTTGTTGTTGTTCTGCACTAATCAACTGACCCGCCTGAACTGAAAAATACAACCAGTTCACAAACTGATAACGTCGAATGGCTACAAATTCTAACCAACTGATCGATTCCAAACCCAAAACTACTCATTGGCAGCATGCAAAAGTTTTGCAAAAACTACAAATTAACCAAAACCAATTTTCGTTAACAAATTTGAGTGTTGTTCACAATTAATCACGACGATAACCACTCGTTTGTTGTTTCTGTTTGTTTTTCTTAACAAAAAAACGTTATACAAAAAAAATTATTTTCTTCAATCCAAAAATTAAACAAAATTTTTCTTTTTTTTTATTTTTTCTTAATTCAATTTTATTTTTTTGTGGAAAATAAAAAAACTATCCAAAACAACAAATATTTGTTAACTTGAATATGTTCCTTGTGTTGTTCCATATATCCTGCGCGCCAACATGTGAACTCAAAAAAATCTAAAAAACCAAAACAACAACAAATATTACACCAACAAACCAACTACTACTTTACAACAACCAACCATACCAAAAAAAAATCAAATCAAAAAACACTGCTGATGCTGCTGCCTCTTTATGTCTTTTATAAACAAATAAACCGCAAACCAAAAAAAAAAACAACAACAAATGCCAAATGCAATCCCAAAATCAAAACAAAATTGCAAAACCAACCATTAATAGGTTTGCCGTGAATTTTTGCGCGGTGCTTGCAAACGTGCCGAATCTGAATGCCGTTTTGCACATCCGCAGGACACTGTGGCCCGACACGATGATGGTTCCATTACGGTGTGCATGGACGCCGTAAAAGGTAGATGCACACGTGATCCCTGCCGCTATTTTCATCCCCCCTTGCACCTACAGGCACAATTAAAAGCGGCGCATTCACGCGCCACCGCTGTTGCTGCAGCCGCTGCGGTATGCCAAAAAATTGTTTTCTCTAAAAAAATCTTTTAAAAACAAAAATTTTTTTGTTTACTTTTACTTTACTTTTTCCTTTTACTTTTTCCGTTTATTTATTTTTTTATCTTACTTTCATTTTCGTTTTCTATATCTATATTTCTCTATGATAACCAAAAACGCTTAATATTTTTTTCAGTTCCGTTTTTTCTTATTTTATGTTAGTTTTCTTTTTTGGTTTATATTTTCTTCTTCTTCTAACCATTTTGCAAAAGAAAATAAATTAAATAAATCTTATTTAAAAAAAGCACATCATAACACAACAAAAATATACACCAGCCAAGCAAAAAAAGAAAAAAGCAATGCAATGAAATACGCAAATATTGTTATGTTCTCTCTCGTTTTTTTCGCTTAAAGAAAATTGCATATTCTTTCATTCTGTTTTTCTCCCCCACTTATAAATGTTTGTAGTTTGTTTTGATTTTATTTCGCTAGCTCTTTCACATCGCTCCCTTGCAGGCAATAATGTTTTAAAACAAGAGCAATATTTGTTTTTGCATTTTTTTGTTTGCTACCGGAAATGTTAGCTTTAACCATTTCCGTTAGCCCCCACGCTATTATTTCACACTTCCGTTTTCACACCAAAAACATTCATTTTTTTCGTTCGTTTTAACTAGAGGGATTAGTATTATAAACCAATATATTCTATATACATAGATGTTTTATTGCTTTGGAATTTATTTTTAAACATAGATTTATGCTCAGAGTCCTTGCACCAATATTTAAAACAAAATTTATTAATGGATTAAACAAATACAAATGTTAGCAAAATTCGTTCAATATTCAATTGAGGGTTATTGTGGCGTATACGTTATGTCAGCACTAATGCGTTGGGTGTTCCTCAATATTCAATTCGTGTTAATTGTGGCGTATACATTATGTCAGCACTAATACGCGAGGTACTGCATTATAAACATTTTGTAAAATTTGATAATGTTTTAGTAATGGATTTAAAATAAAAATTTTAAATAATTCCCTTAATATTCATATGACGTACACTCTATATCAGCACTTATACGTTTTATGTTCCTTAATGCATATTTGTTATAAAAAGTATTACTTCTTTCTTTGCGATTTTTCGGTTATCCTATGTACCGTTACTATTGATGTTTTTGTTTTTGCTTAAAGATAGGCGATACTGTCCGAAGATTAAAATGGCAATTGCATTTTTTTTTTCTAAACTATGTCCCTTTATATGATTTTAAATACAACATTTTAGATTTTTTATTCCGACAAAATTTTTTTGACACTGACACTGCTATGAAAAGTATTCAGTAAATTATAACTGAGGATTTTTTTACATATCTGGTTACAAATAATTCTGTACATCACATCAATGTTATTTAAATCGTAACGTTATATATAAAATGTACTGAATTATAAATAATATTGAAAATAAATCATTGTGACGTATACATTATGTCAACACTGATACGCTAGGTATTCCTTTGTAAACAATTCTAGTTACGTGTGGCGTATACATTACGTCATTACTAATACGCCAGGCACATCGAACAATATAGACTTAAAAGAGACGAGGATTAACGAACATATTCGACTCATTAATCGTTTCAAAATACTATTTTTTTAATTTATTCTAATAAAACTAAACGTTTATATATTTAGTTAACTTTGGACATTTCATTCTGCAAATGAATAATCTTAACGTTGAGGAAAAAAATTTGAAAATCTGCATACGAAATGATCTGATATATTAGAATTATGTGTGGCATATACGACATGAAAAATACATTAAGGAAATTCTTAGTTTTTGAGTTATCGTGCCATTTGCAAAAAACGATGTTTGAAGAAAAGTGCGTTTAAAGTTTGAGAAGCCCTCTTACCGCCACTTGATACAAGCACATATATCTTCAAGCGTTGTTCAGATTTTCACTTGAAATTTCATAGGGACATTCTTGAATTGGTGTAGAAAACAAAATACAGAATTCAATTTTTTGAAACGAGAATGGGAGGTCCCCTTAAATTAAATTTAGACTTCAGTATGACGTATACGTTGTGACAATACTAATACGCCATGATGTCCCTAATACAAATTTTCCTAAACTCCTTAAACATATGTTTCAAATCAAACACCGTATTTTTTATAGATATATTTAAAATTCATTATGATTATAAAGGGTTTTCAGTCTAAACTTGAAGTTAGGATATTCAGGCTATATTCTGATAAACCCAATTTCAAAAAGAAAACGATATACTTTTTATTCTTAAATATACATCCGACTACTATAACTTCTAAGAAATATAAGGTGTGTGGCGTATACGTACTGTCAACACATACGATACAATATGTGGTGCATCTTGAAAGAATATTCAATTAAAATTATCGTAGACCTTGACTTTTTCCTTACAATGCCATAACTTTGATATTGGAAAAATATTGCATTGCATTGGAAAAATATTAATTAAAACCAAACTGATAGCTCTACAAGTCTTTTAGAATATATTCCTCTCTAATCATCCAATTAACGTCTCTATTTTTCCTTAAGAATCAATACCAAGAGCTCTGCTTATACTTCAAATATGACTCTATAAAATCCAGGCCTTAGGTGTTTCCAATCCTCCAAAACTAATTCGTTTAAAATACAGGCCTTAAAAAATCCCCGTTTAAGGCTCTGCCTATCCTCCAAAAAGAATTTCTTAAATATCCAGCTTTAGAGATCTACCAATCCTTCAAAAAATATTGCTCGAAAATTCACGCTTAATACTTATCATTCAAAAATTATTCCCTACAAATCTGCTCATTTTTTAAAAATGAATCATTGAAATATCCAATCCCAGAGTTCTGTTCATCCTTCAAAAAGGATTCCTGAAAAATCCAAGACTAGAGTTCTGCCCATCCTTTAAATATGACTCCTAAGGTTATTTCCTTCAAAAATAATGCCTTAAACATCCTGCCTAGAGCTCTGCCTATCCTTTAAATATGACTCCTAAGGTTATTTCCTTCAAAAATAATGCCTTAAAAATCCTGCCTAGAGCTCCGCCCATACTCCAAAAGTTATTCTTAAAAAAACATGCTTACTGCTCTGCTCATCCTTCACGAATGATTCATTAAAAATCCGCGCTTAGAGTTCTGTCAACTCTTCAAACAATATTTCTTGAATAACCACGTCATTTTCTTTAAATATGTGCCTCTAAAATGTCCACTTCAGGAGCTCAACCTCCAAAATGATTATTTAAAAATTCAAGACAGCATTATTTCAAGCTATGTTCATTCTTCAAAAATCAGAAATCTATGAAATATTCATTCTTCGCAGTGGCCATCTTTCAAAAATGATTTCTTACAAGTCCAAGCGTAAAGCTCTGCTCATCCTTCAATCCTGAAAAATCCGCACCTAGAACTCTGTAAATTCTCCACAATTCAACATAATTATCTCAAAAACCCAGCAAAGAGCACTTATAATAATATCATGTTAAAATCTTACATCTAAAGCCCTTTGCAAAGATAATAATTTAAAGAATCCTAACAAAAATGTTCTGCTTATTCTTCAAAATATTTTCCTCAAAATCCTTGCATAGAACTCTAATAATCCTTCAAGAAATATCCCTGAAAAGTTTACGACCACTATTCTACATTTAAGTGAAAATAATTTAAATAACAAAGGGGCGTATAAGTTATGCCAACATTTATACGCCACATAGATATTTAGTCCGAGGTTAAAAATAAACATTACGACTGATATTGCTTGCCCAGAGCTCTCAAAATTATTAAAACAAACGTGAGGAAAGTGAGGAAGATGATGTTGTGGTGAGTTCCAAAGGTCGTATAAGTTATGTCAATAGTCATACGCCATCCAGGTCTAGCAAATGCAATGTTCTTTAAAATTTGTTCTTTCATATATAATATTAATATATAATAATCTTATAAAAAGTATTTTTATAGATCTGTTCCTTGTAATCAAAAAGACATAAAAAATCCTTAAGAATGTAAACCAATATTTTAGAAAATCACCTCAACCTAGGGGTCATATAAGTTATGTCAATATTCATACGACATGCAGTACCTTATGTTATTGCTAATGTTCGTTTCAAAAATTTTAAATTCATTCCAAAAATTGGTAAATCGATGCCAATTTTATATTATATTGAACAGCGAATATAAAAAGAAATAGTCTTGCGGTCAGAGGGTCGTAAAAGTTATGTCAATAGTCATACGCCATCGAATTTTAGAGACCTCATTGTTCTTAGATATACTATTCCTAGAAATAAAAAGGACGCTAAAAACCTTATAAATATAATATATGGGAATATTTGAGAAAAATAATATTTAACTAAGGTGACGTATAAGTTATGGTAATAGTCATACGCCATGTAGTGCTTAATGTTATTGCTAATGCTCTAATGGTTACACCCGTCTATAAAATCTGAAATTCATTCAGAAAACTGGAAAATTTGTATTTGTATAAAATTGACTATAGAAAATAAAATGCTGAATTTGTCAAGGGGTTGTATACCTTATGTCCAGACCTAGAAATCTTTATTATTATTCAATAAAAATATTCTTATATATTCACTCTAAGACATTAAAAAAATCCTCAAAAAGTAATATTTTATAAAATATTCTAAACAAGGAGTCGTATAAGTTATGCCAATAGTCATACGTCAAGTAGTACCTAATGTCATTGCTAATGTTCTGACTGCTAAAGACTTAAAAAATCGAAAATTATTCTAAAAACTGATAATTTTCTATTAAATTGAACTATAAATATAATTTTATTTCCATGATTTCACTTTTACACAAATAATTAATTCCCCTTAATTAAGAACTGACTGTTTGGGCACAGTGACATCAATTTCCTTTTATCTTCCATTACAATCTCTCTACCTGTCATTTCATATTTTTATGCATTCTTAATTACAATGGAATTCCAGCTGCAAATATCTTTCCATACCTTTCTTGATTTCAATTGGTTATTCTTCCTTCTTTCATTTTATGTCCC